TATATTTGGGTATGATACAATGTTTACCCCACTCTACCCCCCCCCAAAAAAAAAATTTAAAAAATGGTTAAGGGATTTTTTTGTCTGTGTTTTTCTTGTTCACATCTGTCTAGTAAAATAGGTTTAGCCTGACAAGATTAACAGTTAACGGTTAAGAGTTAACGGTTAAGAGTTAACTTAATAACGTTAACAATATACGTTAACGGTAATGAACCTGGGACCCGGCGGCAAGCGTAATCCGTAAACTAGTCGTGATAACCCCACCTTGTCAGTTTTTGCATCCCTGATGAACAGAAGAGAACAGCATTTCCCGGGTACCCACAGGAACACTCCTGGACCCCTACAGGGTAGCGCAACCTTTGGGTAATGCGAATGGATTTTTTTAATGTAAAAAAAACAAAGCCAGATAAAAACGCCTGCAACACACCAAACATAGCCAAGTCAAGTCAAAGTTTATTGCACAAAGATTGTCACGGGTACAATGTATGGCAAATAATAAGATTACTAGTTGGTATGTGTCTAACATAATGCTATATATATGGTCAACGGACATTGTATCTGACAGAGTATTATAAAGAACTACTGGCTAGAGAATATTTCGACTCTGCATGTACATTCTACATTACGCTAAACTATACACATGAAGTGTACAGTGAGCAGTTGTACCTGATTATACTAAACATGTTCTATGGCTACTAAACAGAGTGTATACTAAGTTACTTGCCAGGAATGTTCTACATATAAATGCTATGAATGCTATATATGCTATGAAACGCTACACTATATACATGTAGTTGATAAAAAAATTCAGTAACTCTACTTAGGCAGCTATTCTAAGATGTCTTTTTTGCATGGCATTATAAATGTATTGACCTATATATACAGAAAATGTGTCTGGACATGACATAAGTACATGGAACGTCTCTCTAGACGTGTTGGGTAATGTTTTAGTAGTCTTACATCGGATCATCTGCATTAATATGCGTCTCTCTTCGTCGTATGTGGGGCATGTCATCAGAAAATGATATTCGTCTTCAAATATAATGGCATGATTACGTATTTGCTGTTTGCGTGACTGAAAAATAGAAATATAACATTTTTCGGGTGTTACTTTTTATACATGACCTTGCTAAAGAAAGACTTGTAGACACCATCATTGAATGAGGACACAGTCACCATTACACAAAATCTAAATATTTCATGGAGCTCTGAGATCTCTGACTTCTAGTTGTTACATGATTTATTGTCAGTAGTGTATATGGAAATGGTATTTACTTGTACCATAGAACCATACAAGTAATACTTTAAATCTCTCTCCTTATAGTTCAGAAAGTAATAGTTCATAGTTCAGATATATATATAGTGCCTCTAATGGGTTGTAGAAGTAGTGCCAGAGGCTGTGGCCTGGCTCTAGGCTCTACATTGTCATGGTAGCTAGCGATAATACGGAGTCAGGCACCCAGGCTACGGAAGCTCCAAGACTCAAGAACTCAGTACATACATACGTATACAGTGCCGATTCATAAATTCCGCAAAATGCCAGTATGATCCGGCTTGTCGTATGCATCGCTAAATACTACCGCAAATTAACAATAACTATTTTGTATTCCTGTGGTTTACTAGGATTTTTACTTTGGCGCGCGCATTAGTTTGGGGGTCTTCCGAGGATGCCATCCAGAGAATTAAGTCGGTATGGCGTTATCAGAAAATGATGCTCATCTTGAACATCATACTTTGAGGAAATTCAGAACAAAAACTCCACGACAGGAGCGCCATGTGGGTCCTCAGACTGCTGCAGACTCAGGACTCCTGAACCCGCAAATACATCAGCTATTTCCTCCTCAGACAACAGCTCAAGGTTATAGCCAGGCATCTGAGAGCTAGTTTGGTTTCTTGTACTGTCTCCAGCATCCAGGGAGTCGTAATCGTTAGTTTCTCCCAGAGGGGGGTTGTCCTTTAGCACGAATTCGAAGGTCTGAGTGTTGCTGCCTTTTTCTTCCACCATCCTGATCAACTCGGGTCCATTAAATATGTCAAGCAACTCTTGTTCTGTCGGTCTACGGCGAACTTCGTATGTTTTCATCCTGTTTTCCCTCCTTCCACACGATACTACCGTCAGGGCGGCTGTTTTAACCCGCTGGATCATCATGTCAGCGACTTTCTCGTTTTCCGTCTTCCCGCCTTTTTGCTCGGCCATGGCTTCGTGGTAAGCCTCGTCCAAGATGGCGACGAACATGAGGAGCATGACCCACTGGAACAGGCCGAGCAGCGCGAAGTAGGCGAGAGGGCCAAGCACACTGCTCGCTTCTGCTATCACATAGTAGCTAGACGCGCTCTGTATGATCACCAAAATGGTCTGTAGAGCACTGGGAAAGGTCGCGAAGCCTTCCAACTTGGTGCCGACGACGAGGTAGAACAGCATTGTGAAGGAGCAAAACATGATGCCAAACATGATACCGAACCCAGATAGCGGACCCGAAGCCTTTTTCATGGTATCTGCACAAAAAGTCAGAAAAAAAGGAAGACACAATATTGTCATGAAAGTTGATCTGTTGGTAGTAATCATGGTAAAATGTTGAACGTTATTCCAACACAAGGGTTTCACATAGATCAAATTTTCAACGACCACTGTCGCCTTCATCAGGATAATGAGGCATTACAGAGGCCAGTTTTGTTACTTCAATTTTGCATTGAGTGGAAAGTATATAAATTATTCATTTCAGACATATTATTTCTATTATTTGACCTCTGATCTCCAATGCACTTTTATTTCTTTATGCTGATTTGTTTCAAGTTTGTCATAACTTCAGCATAATTTGTATGTTTTATTTATTATCATTATTGCTAAAAGTAATTACCGTTATTATTATTATTATTATTGTTATTTTATTTTATGTTGCTGGACTCCAGGAAGAATAATATGGAGTTAATACTAAAGGAAATCTCAATAAACAAACAAACATATATATCAGGTCACTTCAGCCATCACTTAACAGAGACGGTGGACGATATAAACTCGCTGGCATGTTTAATCAATTGCTGACGAAACGTATCCGTAAAGTCTCGTGTGAATAAGGTCACGTGGCTGTAACCGCAACTCTCGCGAGATTACGTTTTGAAGTGATTGGTCATAAATTATCCTGATGAAGACGACAGTGGTCGTTGATAATTTGATCTCTGTGTAACTCTTGTGTTGGAATAAAGTTCAAAATTTTACTAAAAACACATTAGGTATTTGCATTGATTTATTTTTTAGCCTAATATGCATTCATCGTAAGAAAGCCTCAGCTGACCTACGGAGGAAAATGTGTTCTCAAGAAGACACTTTTTAAAACTTGATATGAGTGTGCGTGAGCCGATACATGCTTTGGTCATTTTATTGACTTTACAAATGATTGATTATGAGTATCATCAGTATATCAGTATTGGACATACAAGTCTATTTTCCTTTGGCGTAACACAAACAACAGACTCTCATTAAAAAATGTAAAACCACTGTTGTATCCAGCAGAACCGTGCCTATCCAGTTCTATGCCTGAATGGGCTAGTCTTGATGCATGCAAGAACGTAGATGTTCGGCGGGGCCCATGCTTGGTTCTGGATACACTTGTACTATCCAGAACGGATCGATTCTGAGCATGGTTCTGGATAAAGCACGGTTCTGGTTGTAACAACCACAGTGAGATAGATGTACAAAAGTGCGCACCTGCCCCCCGAACGATGTGCTTGTTGAACCGAAACAGATGCAGCAGCTTCAGAGTCGCCACACAGACCAGCCAACCTAACACGTACGTGTTGATCTGGTCCCACAGCGCCGCCTGGCGATACTTCTCGTAACTGTCTTGAGTAGCTGCACAGGATGAAATTTCAAGTTACTGAAGTATTGCATGTTGTTTACGGCACACGACCCTATTTTGGTGCCGTAGGCACTGTAGAGATAGAAATTGGTACAGTGCCCTGTAGGTGAGATAACGTCTTACCTTCCGTATTACTTTGTGGTGTGTTGAATCCCAGGATAAGATACAGCGTGTACAGGAGGATCCCGATCTCCGCCAGAGACAGGAGCGCCAGGCACAGCTCCAAACAGTTCCAGAACATCTTGAAGTACTCAAAACCCATCAACATGATCCTGGAAACTGACAAGATGAACAAGATGTCAAAAGTTGTGATTTATGATTTGCCGCATTTGTGGAAGGATTGACATAACATGTGACTATCACCTTTTCAAGATGTCAAACCTAAAACAAGACTGTAAGGTTTAAACCACTCACACCGGGAAAGGCCCCTACTCTTTTCGACAAGTGTGATGGGATCTTTAACATACTCAAGGCGTGGCTCTACTTAAACAAGAGATGCCCCTAAAAGAAGCTATAGGTGCTCCTTTACACCTGAGTTGATTGAGGAAAGTCGTGTCAAGTGCTTTTCACAAGGACAAAATACCAGGACCTGCCAGGGACTCGAACTCAGAACCTTCGGAATCTGAGTCAACAATCCTTACCACAAGACCACCTTGCCACCTAGTGAGGACCTGTGGCTTCTCCGTAATATTATGATACTACTTTTTACTAGACACAATTTACTACATTTTTTGACAGTATGTAGTAACATCAATGCAACTTCTTTGGAATAAGTTACATTTTTACTCTATGATATATATATGGTACACATAGACAATAAAGAGATTTTAATAAAATTTAGATTCATATTATTCGAGAATTTTTATCGACAATGTTACACAGACTTTGAACTAACATGTGACCTCGACTAAAGACCATGGATGGGGAGCATGGATGTTGTTGAAAAGGAAAAACTATTTTGAATTCGGCTAAGCTGGTACCATGTGCGTAAAATGTGCATTATTTTTTTTGCACCATTTCCCCCCTTTTTATATATTGCGATGACAAATATACACGTTTAGAAAAAGTCAATATATCACATATCATACTTACGCTCTCTGAAGACGAAGTACAGTGTAAACAGGACGAAGACTCCTTGAAATGCTGCCACAACCTTGGACCAGACGGTTTGGAAGCGGAAGAGGCGTACAGTTGTGGCTTCTACTTTTGAGTAAGAACTTCCCAGCGTTGGGAACTCTGTCATCAGCTCCATGATAGAAAACAGGTTCGTGTTTGGGTTAAAGATCGTGAACTGTACAAAGACAGCCCGGGTGTGTTGATCTATCCACCCGCTGGATTCTAACCAGTCTACGGTAGACAGTAAGGCCGCAGTAGTGGTGTTGGTCAGCTCCACGATGTAGCCTCCGCCATAGTACGTTGCATATCGTCCGCTTGTAGGGATATCTACATGAAAGGAAAAATTAATTTTTCACGTTCTGAACACTCCTTTGTCTTAAAAGAATTCATGACTGCTCCTCAATTTAAGGGAATCTCACAGGTTTCATGGTAGCAAAACTGGAAAAGGCAATCTTTGTAATATTGATACATAATACTTCACATTAGCAGAATTTCATACGTTAAAACTGCAACTGGGCATTCAAAACTGCAGAAACAAGCCCCAAAAGTAGTCCTTCATTTTTGGGTGGTACCCTGAAAATAAGCACAGGGTCCTTCCTCTAACCATTTTCCGTCAGAATTTTTGAAATTTTTGCACCATGAGGGTCAATAAACATTGGGATAGTGTGGTTTTAACTCAGTATGTAGATAAATGACTAGAATATTGGCTTTAAAAAAGTCAGGCTTGTAAGCCCTACAGGTGCATTGGATGCTTTTCAAAATAAGAAGTATGGCATGAACATAGAAGAACTTTATTGCACGACAATTGCACAAGGTACAATGTATGGCAAACTACATATCGAGAGTACGAACAAACAGTACTCACCATACAGCGTTGGTGAGTGATAGAGCCACGGTTGTTCTTCTTCTGTGTAGTTTTCATAGATTATCGGATCCTCTGTTACATTTGCGGGTCCTGCCCAACCTTCGGTGTAATGTCTGGCATCGTTCGCAAAGTAGCCGTAATCCTCATCGCAGTTATCTATGATCCCAAGGAACGGTGTTGGGATCTTGCATTGCTCATCTGGAGAAAGCAAATGTACACAGAGATTTATTGTAACCTGTACAATGACATATATAGAACAAAAAACACACTTTTGAAACAAATACGCACAGAAAGACACATAGAACGAGACACACAAATATGAAAGAAGGACAGAAAGAAGGACACCAAAAAACGGGACAAACATCGAAAACAAGGACGGACAGAAGGACAGTGTCACATACAACGGGACACACACATCCGAAACAAGGACGGGCAGAAGGACACATAGAACGTATGGGCCAAACATCTAAAACAAGGACGAAAAAGGGACACAGAACGGGACACACATTTGAAACAAGGACGGATAGAAGGAAACATAGAACGGGACACATACATATTGAACAAGGACAGACTAAAGGATACATAGAACAGGGCACACACATTTGAAACAAGGACGGGCAGAAGGACACATAGAACAAGACACAAACTTGCCGTCTGACAATGATTTCATCAGGGAGTTTCGTCTGGCACCTTCCTCAGAGTGATGTCCTCGCCACTGCACTATGTATGTACATGTAGCCAAAGTAGGTGGCAATTTTGCGGCCAATCAAGTAAGCTCACTGGATAAGAAAGTCAACCCCAGTGATGAACCGGGACGGCAAGCTTAGCCACGTTTGGGACTGTGTTCTCGCCGGAAAAGACACCACCTACTTTGGTTACATACACTCCGAGGAAGGTTTCTGATTAGACATCGAACCGTAAGAGAGGTAACAGAATCACCGGTTGTGTACGAAAATCTCATTATCATAGAAACGTGCCTTGTTTGACCCTGAGCTGGCGGAATCGGACAGTCCCAGCAATGTATGACTGGTAGTCGCGCAGGTAACCGTCAGACTGCAGAGCCATGCCGTTGTACCACGTCGTGGAGCTTATTTCAGGAACCAGCGCAAGCTCCACAAAGTTCCAAAATTTTTCAAAAGTTGTAGCCTGGAAAAAGAAACAAGAAGCATAATATGTGTTAAGTGCATGTGTCGGTCAGGAGTCGAATTGCGTTTGAATGGTAAGACTTGTTTTTAGTAAGAAGGGAAACAACGACATATCTTAACTCCAGTTATGCAAATTACCTTATTTGCGAAATACATGTATGAGCTTTTACTATTTATATATATATCATCTGTCTTAGAGGTGCAAGTGAACGGAATAACAGCCTTCCTCTCATTACCAATACAATTTACAATCAATACAATTTACCAAGAAACAGCATGAAGAAGAAAGAGTAGCACTGGAAAGCTAGCTAAAAAGTCCTTCCCGCACCATGTGGTACATATAGGGCGCCCATCTCCGTTTTAGTAGCCCTTGGGCCACACAATTGTGCAATCACTACAGCAGGGTTGCAGGTCCACCGGTAGTAGAGTGTGTTTAACTCCCATATTCTTTCCCAAATGCTGAGTGCTAAGCAAAGAAAGCAGTATGTACCATTTTTACAAGTATTTGGTATGACTCGGCCGGACTCACAACCTACCGAAGGCGAGCACTCTACATATATATCCTTGGTCATTGCATCGGTACCAGTGACACTGGGAAGCGCGCAGGTTTTGAGTAGAAAGACATAAACTTGTGACACGTTGTATGAAGTTTTCACAAATTCATAAAGTAGACGGTTACAACGCAGAACCATGCGATAAGTGTGTCTCCTGTTTGTTTATTCATTTGTAAATTATCTGTTCAAAACGACGGTGGTATAAACTATTTCTTTTCATTTCATGTCAACTAAGAATTTACCTGGCGAAAGGTTGGAACCTGTTATCAGTGAACCAAACTTTATTCATTCCAACATGTAAAAGTTTGACATAGTGACGGCACACTCAAGCTTTTTCAACTTATTTTAAGCCAACACCAACAAAGGACATTATAATACTCATTTTCATCTGAGAAAGGTCGTGTGAAGTTACTTTCCAAAGGGCACAAGATCCGGTGGCATGACAGGGTTCGAACCCGGGACCACTTGGTTCTGAGACTAGCACCCAACGTTAAGGCCACGGTCACATTTCCAAGTCGGGGCCCGGCCGGGTTGTTTGCATGAACGAAAAAGAAACAACTTGTACAAAGAGTATACACAAATAGTGCTCAAGGTTAATTTTCTAAAACGTTTTTTGTGTTTTGCTGTCTCATATCATAATTTTCGTTCCAAACGACTGCCCGGCCGGGCCCCGGGTTGGCAAATGTTACCGCGCCTTAAGATGCGGTCGTATTTCCAAACCCGGGGCCCGGCCGGGCAGTCGTATGGAACGAAAATTATGATATTAGACAGCAAAACGCAAAAAAAAAGTTTGAGCAATGAGTACTATGTGTATACTCTTAATACAAATTGTTTATGTTTCGTTGAACGCAAACAAGCCGGTCGGGCCCCAGCTTGGAAATGTGACAGTGCCCTCCTTACCCCACAAAAACCAACCTTTTGCAGGGAATGTTTCCCGCCTCCAATAAAAAAAGTGTCGCGGAGGTGCTTGGTCTGATAGTACATCATGGGGTCCCGTGGTCCGTTGGCAACAATGACCAGGACGGTGATGAACAGCAGGTAGAAGAGCAGTTCTTTGAACGCGGCTCTTAGCGTCAACTCCCGGAACCGCTGCGCGCGGGACTCCGCTAGATCCTCCGGGGTTGGCGGATTTGCTTCCGTTGTGGTCGGCATGCTCCAGTTTTCCTATCGAAGAAGAAATTTCATGAAATCGAATCATAGACAATAAATCATTCCATACATCAATCCATCAATCCATCCATCCCTCCATCCATCCATCCATCCATCCATCCATCCATCCATCCATCCATCCATCCATCCATCCATCAATCAATTAACCAATAAAACAAGGAATTTGCAGCCACAGGCTGAATTACATCCTGTTGTACAATTAATTCATTTTAAAATTCATTCGGTATACAATAAAAATCATCAAAGTTATTTACAATTACAATTACAACAACTTGGTTACACATTAAGATAAACTAGAGTTCGTAGGACTCATGCCTTCGACTGTGTGATATTGTTTAGGTGGGTGTTTTTGTTTGTATATGGTAGTATTTTTGTGTAGATGTTTATTGTTGTTATTGATGATATTTATAAGTTAGTACTAGAGCTGTGTACCGATATGCAGTACCGATACTGTACCGGAAAAATTAATTAGGTACAGGTCCAAAATACCTAATCCCTCAGTACCGGTACTGTACCTAAACAATTTCACACCAATTTTATGCCTATTTGTGACCTCAAATGTGTAAATAGCTGGTTAACAATGGGTCCCTGTGTAAGGACAGTGTGTTCATGAAAACAAAAACATCTTTACTTTTACCTATATTTTATCTGAACATTCTCCATAAACAAAAATTAAACCTATAACAATGTTTTTCTTGTTATTACAGGAGTTCAGAAGAGCATATACATTGGTCGAATTGTTCAGGTACAGGTTCAGGTCCGGACCTGTACCTAACCCTGTGTACCTGTACCTGTACCTGTACCTGTACCTAAAATTTGTTTAGGTACACAGCTCTAGTTAGTACAGTGATAAATAGCACCCGGGACTGCAGGACTGAAACATAAATAGGACCGGGACTGCAGGACTTAACGGTATGCCTAAATACCTCAACCGTTACCTCAAACGGCCTCAACCGACCGCGTAATGGGTTAATATGCAGTATACATGGGCTAACAACCTTTTCCAACGCTCTGGATACATTGTCTATGCTTGTATGAATGGAAAAAAACTGTAACTCTGACGTATTTACCAGTTTTTAAAAGTTATTCATCGTTGGGCCTGCATGGGGAATCTCTGGACACATTTTGCTTTATACAGGCAACAGAACGCAAAAATGATGGTTTATAAAGCACAAATACTATCATAACCAACTCATAATAGCTATATACAGAGTGTTTTCCAGTCTGACATCCAAGCTGCTAAGCACGTACGCCTACCGGCTTGACCTCCATTGACCCCATTCGGGGGTGGGGGGTGGCTAGACAGATCATTTATTTCAATAGTTGGATGTCGATCTCTTCCTTCATGCTTTTAAATTTCATTCATACTAGCATAGACAATGTATCCAGAGCGTTGGAAAGGATTGTTGGCCCATGTATAGTGCATATTAACCCATTACGCGGTCGGTTGATGTCGGTTGAGGTATTTAGGCAGACCCGGACTTAAGGGGGTTCAAGGGTAAGGACTGGAACTTCAGGACTGAGGTTACAATTGGGCCTGCAGGACATAATTGAAAGAATTGATAAATTCTTCACGAAGTTACATATGAAGTTGACAATTAAGCCCTCAGTCTGTTCTCATAAGGAAATTAATGTAGTGCTGAGGGCCTGTTTTACTTGCTGACTATGTAACTTTTCCACCACTTCAACTTGCTTTTGTGTAATTGGAAACCGAATACTTGCCCCGTATTTTATGTGTCATCTTATGAATGCCTTGCACAATATAGTACTATGATATGGATGTTATATTATTCACAGACATGTGTGCATTACCACCCCACCCTCCCCCGATGTTATATTGAACGGTGCCCATGTGATAGACAGTCAGTGTACCAGATGTGTCACATGGATTTGCCCTTTGCCCTTGAAAACAACCCATAGTTTCTTTAAGCGATCTGATGAAAGAGTCAGGCTAAAAGGCTGGTGGTTTGTGAAACAAAGAGGTAATGTTTTTAGTGAGTCAGGGGCCAAGAACCTTCTTATTCTAAAGCATACTAATGTAATCATTGGTGAATTTACTGACAAGCATATAGAAATCACACAGAATGTGGTGGTAATGGTTAAACATCCAAGTAATAAGATATGCAAAATAACAGTTACTTAACCAACTGGATATGATTTTAAAAGCGCCCAAGAAAGTGTCATAACTAGCATCTATTTTGATATACAGTACTAACTTGTCAGGCCTGTTGCCTGAACAAATAAGACTCTTGTTATAAGGACACTTCACGGGTGCTGTTGTTTCAACAAACTCTACACGCTGCCAGTGTTGTTTTTACCTGAATCTAGTTCACACTATCTATTATCTTAACCTAGTACATAGAACGAACAGAGACCTTCCTAATAATGAAGTTCCTATCTAGTTTTGTGCTAAAAACAAACCAGACGACAAATACTTCTTTAAAGTGGCTCAACTATCGTACAACTTTTAAAACTAAACGCATAACTATTATAAGTCATGTTAAACTTACCATATAGTAAAAACCGTGCACTTCGAATGCTGTCTCATGGTCCACTAATTACAAAAAGTTTAACAGGCACTTGTTATGTTCTTTCAAACACTTCACATTATACCTATTTGTAATATACATTACTACCTCACTTTTCCAGGGTAGCTTCGCTTCTTAAAATAACACTTCAGGATTACTATTATTTCAACAAACCCTTGCTGTCATTTTGTTACCATAACCTACTTAACCCTGACTACACTGTCCTATATACAAGGACAAAACCTTTGCCTATACTTATAAAGGGAATACAAATTGTTCTATTATAGCAACACACAGCCTACTACAGATTAATCATTAAGACACAATTTACATAATGAAAATCTCTTCCTCTTGATTACATATGCCACCATTTTAATTGTTTTATCACAGAACCCAGCAAATATATAGACTTCTGTCATTAATTATGTAAATTAAATCGTGATTTGCAAAATATTCAGCAAATTAGGTCAAGCATCACTTAAGCTACCGAGATACCAAAAATGACAACAATCCGTCACCCGGTTCTTTAGCTATCCTACTTCAAACATTTTCAAACAAATGCCTCTGCATTTCCCAAACAAGCTGCTACGGGGCACAAACTTATGGCACTTTTTTCTGAGCACGAGAGCTACCTACCATCTAAAATCATGACCCTAGCACGTCCAGATCACGAAATGTAAAAGCCAGAAGTTTCGCTGCAGTACGTTCTAATTCAATGACGTCGGGACCCCCCACGAACTCCATATCCGAACTTGACCTTGGTATTTTCAATGGTAACTTGCCAACAAAAAAACATGAACATCAATTTAAAGATTCTCGAGTTATCTTGTACACAAGAGAAAACACAAAAAACAAAGGTCAACTGCAGTGACATAGAAACCCCCACGGAGCCCATCTTCGAACTTGACCTCGGCATTCTCAACGGTAACTTGTCCACTTAAAATAATGAACATCCATTTAAGGATACTCGAGATATCTTGTACACAAGGAAAAAACACCAAAAAACAAGGTCAACTACAGTGACTTAGGAACCCCCCACGAAGCCCATTTTTAGCCTTGAAAATGGCCACCCCCAAATCAACCCGCCTGCCAAAAATCGTGAACCTCGGACCTTGCCTTCAAGAGTTATCGTGCCTAATCTGCCAAACAGTGCAAAAGCGATTTCATAGCCTTCTCCGAAGGCATAGCCTTCAGTCGAAGGCAATAACCACTTGGATGTTGTATGTAGTAAGATGGCACAGCGCCTTGGTTTGTTAAGACGGCTGCGGCCTTATCTCTGCACAAATATTACCAATATGTTGTACAAAACCTTTGCTTTACCGCTACTTGAATACTGTGATGTGGTCTGGGACAACTGTAGCGCAACCAACACGCAACGACTACAGATTCTACAGAACCGGGCTGCAAGAATCATTCTCAGACGTGAATCGAGATCGAATGTGGGGGAACTGCACCAAGCACTTGGATGGAGTCAACTGCAGGAACGAAGAACACGCCACGTTTGTGTCATGGTGTACAAATGTCTCCAGGGATTAGCCCCGAGCTATCTACTGAACACGTTCAATTATAATAACCAAATCCACAACTACCACACTAGACAATCACATCTCCTGCACAGACCCAACTACACTTCAAAAGCAGGACAACGTACCTTTGCGTACAGGGCAGCTGTAACATTCAACTCACTAAAATGTAACCTAAAACAAGCACTCACATCTAAAGCCTTTAAAGACAGACTAAGATCTGAATCCATCTGACACCTGACTACCTAATGACGATCTCGACAACCTTGATTTAAATATCTTTATTGATTTGTATGATTTGTTTATATGATTCATCATTCTTATTTTCAATTATTACTACTATGTTGTACCATTTCCTAAGTTACTCGGAGTTTGACCTCTGGCCCTCCAAATACCACTGACCGACTGTTGTGCTTAATTTATGTTAATTTAATTTATGTTATATTATCTTTTCTGTATTCTAGCTTGTTTGCATTATATTCTTGTTTATTTATTATGGGCTCTCTTGGAAATCAGCCCCTCGGGGCTGAAGAGACCATACCCATACCCATATGTTGTTAAGATAGATAAAGAAATAAAGAAATAAAAATAAAAAGCTGTTGTTGGTATAAATACACAAATCACGAGGTGTTCAGTGATATTCCTGCATCGTATCACATTAACACCTACGACCGTACAAACCAATTTCTTTCTAAGCATGGGCTTTGCTGCTGTACCTACTGTATATGGTTTAGATGCTTTATACGTATTGCCGTGTTTATTCGCGATATTTCAACATTCATGAGCATGTTCATTCCTAGAATGGTCGAACGGCGGAGGACATCGCTGCAAATGAGTACACCGGTCACCCTAGTCAGGCGGATGAAGACCGAATTACTCGTGGTAGAAAGGAAATACTGAAGCTTCTCCGACAACAAAATAATGTGAGTCGCTTCAAAACTTACGTGATACAAAATCATAAAGCATTTTATCTAAAGAATATGATTGAGATAACTATAGATCTTGTCAAACACTTCGGTTTACAAACAACTGCTCATAATATTAAACTACAAGTTAAAGATAATATAAAGTTGTTTTTTCAGTTTCCCTGGCACGCATGCTAGTATTTGAATTGTTGTATTCTTCTTGGCAGGCTGGAGAGATGTGCATTATGACTAACATCAGAATTGCGTAGAAACATTTAGCTACGAGCGCAGTTGAAAGGCATGTGATCTATCTACAGAGACATGTACATGTACATGTTAATAATATACATGTACAATTCCACCCTACTGCAACTTACTAGTTACTAGAAGTGTTTCAGAAAGAATTGTAGAAACGCCCTCATACCAAACACTTTCACGTATGCATGTTTACAGGAAGTCTCCACGCGTAATAAAGGATACGATCCTGTACTCGTCCGGTTCTATGAAGAAAGCGGAATGACCGAGGTGAAGGAGGATTGTCCGTTGATAGAAGAAGCAGCTAAGCAGAGCGGGAAAACTGTAGACCAAGTGAAGGTGTGTCTTTATTTATTTATTCAAAATTGCAACATGACAATACAAAGTGTGCACTAGGCAGCAAGTATGCTGATAGCGTGCACACCCAACACATACCTGGACATATGACATAGAAAAACAACAATAAATAATTAGAGCAACATATATACAATTACAATTTTCATATAAATACACCTATAATTAAAATCAATTATTATATAACTATACAGCAAAATGAATGTTAAGTGAGGCTCAGCTGGAAGAGGCACATAATCTTTTTGATTGGGCAATGAATGTGTGGAGTGCATGTGTGAGTTTTGTATTTATATCAAAGTTATGACCTGGAGAACCCTGGAGCAGAACAGATGTGGTTAGGTGATGTTGATGGTGTTCAACAGTGGAGGCAAGGGTGTTGCGTGGCTCAGTGTGGAGAGGGCAATGTAACAAGTAGTGTGGTACTGTTTCAGAGGGGGCGCCACAGGCACACGTCTTGTCTTTGAGGTTCATTTTGTGCAAGGTGCAGTTCAATTGGCTCCAGCCCATGCGCAACCTTGCAGTATAGATGTTAAACTGCCTAGAGCCGAGACTACGGTGCAACTGATAGTGCCTTGGTGTGATGAGGTGCTTTTTACACACCCGTTTGAATGCAGCAAGACTGCTGACATCCTTAACTGTCTGGGGCAGCTGGTTCCATTGTGAACAGGTGAACGGGATGAAACTGGTTTTATAAGTCTGAGTCCTGCATCGCGGTAGGTGGAGGTGAGTATTGTTACGGAGTTGCAGCCTTGAAGTTTACTGGGCACCTCTTGTGGATGGAACGAGTGACTGTAGGTGAGGAGGAACAAGTCCGTTTGTAAGTCTGTACATGACTACCAGTGAGTTGTACTTTCGCCTGGTGGAAAGGGTGTCCCATTCAAGTTCTTGTAGAGGTTGAGAGCTGGGAGTACCCTTCATGGCTCCAGTGACAAGACGACCGGCGTAGTACTTGACCTGTTCCAACATCCTGCTAGCTGTGCTGTTTAAGTCACCCAGGAGCACCGAGGCATACTCGAATTTGGGGCGAACAAGTGTAAAGTATGCTGTCTCAAGAGCTTTCCTGCCCAGTTTGCCCTTGGCCTTGGACAAGACACCGAACAGTTTCCTGCATTTAGTTGTGGTCATTTGGACATGGTCCGTCCACCTGAGGGCCTGGTGGATAGTTACCCCCAGGTGGCTGGAGAATGGTACTTGCTCCACAATTTTCCCAAGCAGGTAGATTGGAGGAAGTTGGACGTTCTTGCGGTCAGACTTGACACACAATACCTTACACTTATCGGGATGGAGTTGTACTTGTAGTCCCCAATCTATGAATCAGGTGGACACCAGTTGCAAGTCTGTGTTGGTTGTGTTAGCTACTGCCTACACTGTTCTGGCTGAATTGTAGAGAGACGTGTCGTCTGCAAAGCAGTTAAGTCCAGGGTGTGTCTTTGTGATGACTGGTTGCTTCCTTGAGCTCAATCAGTTGTATCTTATCTCACTAAAGGCTAAAACGTTTTGTACTGATAGAGATGAGGAGCTTTAGCTTTTGTTGGTGTAACTCGTGCGTTATTTTCTGTAATAAGAGTGTTGGCCTTAAGAAATCGTACCCTGTGCCTCAAATTAATTGTCACTCATCGTTTCATTGTATCATTCTAGTTAACCTCATGAAATCGTACCCTGTGCCTCAAATTAATTGTGATTCATCGTTTTGTTGTATCATCCTGGTTAACAGTAATGTCATATGTAATGATTTTGCAGAACTTCATCGGCAACTATCGTAGGTTTAAGAGCGGCAGTAAGCAGAGCCTCTCCACAGACGACATGGGGGCTGAGAACATCACGGGATATCGTGAAGACTTAGGGATGTCTGCAAAAACGGGTAAGGTGTAACACACAACTATTTTAGCTGTTGAATACTTGACTTAGTAGATCATTCTCAGACGTCGGCTTTACGTAAGTGCAAGAAAAGTAAAGTGATACAATAATAAATGTCTGATAAAATGCTAAAATCTTCTCATCCAGAAGACAGCAGTGTTCCACTTGAAATACAGCTGCGGGGTCCTGGAATGCAGCAGCTGTACTCCCAGGCCTGCCGCCAGGGGGCGCGACCGGTGCACAGCGTGCGCGGGCTCGTGGTTGGTCAGTTCAGATCCGGGAAGACGTGTGTCGTCAGGAGGCTGACGGGAGAGAAGGCTGTGGAGAATGAACCGATAACAGACGGCATCGAGATTTCACCCAGCGTGATGACCAAGACTTGGCGGAAGGCAAAAGGTCCGAAAAACATGTTAATATCTGTCACCTGTTGCGACATTATAAACCTTGCTACTTAGAGAGTTTGGGCCCAAAATACGTGTGTCATGCAATGATACGTAATCTACGTGCTTTTATCTAATAATACATCCACTATTCAACGCCTAATGTTTTGTACTTATATAGATCTATGTAACGCTTTTAATCTACTCTAGTACTTACGCAAATTTTATCAACGAATTTAGATTTATGCAATGTTTTAAACCGATTTCGACACCAACCCACCATTTTAATCTTAATATTTTACTTACTTATGCTGATATGATGTCGTAGTTAGAAATATTGTAAACAGTCCATGTATTTCAGCAATGGCTGCAAAGTGGAGTCTGTGATTATGAAGTAAATAAACCATCATCATTGTTATTATTATTATTATTATAATTTGCATCTAGAAACAGTATATTACAAAACAACAGCATGAATATACCATGTTTGTTTAAGATGGAATTGCCAAACGGTCTCAGCTGTAACAACGAATCATACGGTATACATCATGTATTGCTTACAGAGGAGCCAGACGAATTCAAGGAAACCATGGCAGAACGCTTGGCGGAACAACAAGAACGGGACAAACCACGCACCCGGACATTGTCAGGAGCCCAAGGAGCAGTCAGGAAAAAGTCTACAGGTATCCAATGTCACTTTTACATATCAATGGACATAATATACACATAGTCATGAACGTTCATCTGTGTTGGTAGTAATCATAGTAAAAAGTTGAACTTTATTCCAACACACAGCTTTACAGAGAGATCAAATTATCAATTGCTACAGAGAGATCAATTGCTTACGTCACGTATAAGTAAAATCTCGTGTGAATAATGTCACAAGTCTGTTAACCGTAATTATAACTCCCGCCAGATCACGTTGTGAAGTGATTGGTAATTAATTATCCTGATGAAGGCGACAGTGGTCGCTGAAAATTTGATCTCTCTATAAACTGTGTGTTGGAATAAAGTTAAACTTTTTATTATAATATACACATGTACAGGGCAACGCACACAGTCAGGACAACAAAAATGCTTTTAAAAATTAGAAGCATAACGTTTTATTCATTAATCTAAAATGTATGTACAGAACACGAGAATTGGCACCTCTATATCGTTTTCACGCGTCATCATCTACGTATTGCTAAAGTTCTGTCTTTAGAAACACACACAAAGAGACGAAGGGACAGTGATATCTGACTTTCTCTTTATATAAGATGCAGAAAAAGCACAGAAAATGACAAGGAAACGGACGCAGCAGGAGAAACCACCGAAGGACAAGACGCCGACGCAAAGTCAACAGACACCAAAACTGGAGAAAAAAGATGAGAAAGAAGGTGAGAAATGAATAGATGTTTTCACAAGTTAGAAATGCAGATTACAGAAGATTTAGAAAAAAGGAACTTGTTGTTTTACGTTAGACGGTTCTTTGTTGTAAATGTATATCTTTGATCCCAAGTTAAAACTATATGCAAGTGTAGTAATTGGCCTCTAGAGAAAAGATGCAAAATAATGAATGGCATTGAAATTGTAAGATCGATTGAACAAGACACATCTTCCGTTGCAGGAAGAGAAGAAAGTGTGGTTACGACTACGTCACGACAAACACAAGACATGCCGGATGATGTCAAAATAAAAGCTCAACAGCGACTTCAGAGTAGCGCGACGAGTCTGCAGCAAACACAAGACATACCGGATGAAGTCATAACAAAAGCCAAAGAGCGACTCCAAGGTGGCGTGGCCGAGGAGCAGCTTGGAACAGCCGAACACCCGCGTCTCTCCCTCTGGGACTTCGGCGGCCAGGCCACGTACTACGGCTCGCACCAGTGCTTCTTCACGTACCGCGGGATCTACATCCTGGTCATGTCACTGCTGCAGAAGCTGTCCGACACAGTTCCTGATCTGGACTACAAAGCGGCAGCGGACAATCTCGTAACTGGAAGAGGTACGTACCGCTTCTTCAACTGTAAACCTAAGTTGTGACAATGCAGTCGGTTTGAGTGGCAACATCTATTTGTCGCCTTTAAAGCTTGAACATTAGAATTGAAAAAGAACTTAAATCACATAATCGTATGTAACGTTGAAAAAATGAAATGATAAGGCAAAGATAATTTCGTACACAAAAATGATAAGACGTCTCTACTTATCCAGACTACTTGGACCACTGGCTGAACTCAGTCCGCACACACACCCTGGTGCACGGGCGGGAGCAGACAGGAGAGCCGCGTGTCGTTTTGGTCCTCACACACAAGGACATGGTCAGCGAGGTATGGAGGATCTTTAGATATATTCTAAACTTTACGAATAGTGGTTGAGCTTGTCTTTGCCGTAAAACGTGTGGTTAATATCGATGGCTGAAAGGATCAGCCTTGGGTTGTCTTCTGGGATTGATTCACAGTACCTTTAGGTCCTGAAGATTAATTTGTGCTCTTAATTTCAGTCGGACATTGAGGACTACAAGAAAGACATACGTGGTCACATCAGTGGTAAGGCAGCCGGTAAACACGTCTTACCAAAGATATTTGTCATCGACAACTTCAACGAGGACAACAGCGACATTGAAGAGCTCCGAGAATACCTCCGTGAGGTGGCGAAGGGTCTGTGGTTCATGGGTCAGGAGGTGCCGATGACTTGGCTTCATCTGAAGTCCAAACTGATGGACAAGAGGAGAGAGGACGACCCATTTTGCCGTTTCCAAGATGTCGTCGATCTGGCCCGGAGTGATGACGTGGGCATCACGGATGACAGCCATGTTGCCGACATTTTGACCTTCCTACATGACCTTGGTGACATCATCTTCATAAACGAACCAGTTCTGCGTGATCACGTGGCACTTCGACCTCAGGTGATGATTGACGTCTTCAAGACCATCATCACCGTCCCGGAGTACCAACAGGACAGGAGCACGGATGGGGAGGTTGCCGAGATGTGGAGGAGGCTGGAGAACGAAGGCATCCTCAGTGAGAGGCTGTTGACAATCATCTGGACCAAAGCAGATCAGAAGATGCAGAAACCCTTCCTACTGCGGCACAAGCCCTTCCTGAAGCGACTGATGGAAAAGTACTACCTTCTCTGCAACGTCACGCCGATCGGTGGGTTTGATGACACTTCGGGTGATCCTGAGAAAGAAGAGATCTACTTCGTACCATCTCTCCTTGCCGGAATGCCTGAAGACAGCACATTGAATCCTGGGCACATGAGGAGATGCCGGCATCCTCTGTATGTCGTATTCGACAACATGTTCCTGCCAAGTGGCATGTTCTATCGTCTACAAGCCATTTGTGTGCGCAGGTTCGGTCTTCAAGAGTCCCACGTGTTCGCCGGCTGCGGCCGCTTCCCTACCGACGATGTAAAGCAACAGTTCGTGGTAACCAAAGTGAAGCACTATCTGAAGGTAGAGCTTCTGTCTGCTAAAGACCAGGCAGAGTTTACACAGGCCCTTCCTGTTAGAAAGTTCCTCAGCAGTTGTCTCTTCGAGATCAAGGAGAAGTGGATCCCGTCCATCCAATATGACTGGTGCTTTGGGGAGGTGTCAGAAAAAGAAACCGGAACACCAGTATTCCACCCCCTGTCTGACATCGGGCAAGAAACGGCAACGGGATCCAGTCGGTGAGGCCGGCTATGTTTTCAATTCTTTCAGTTAATGAAACAATTTCATTTGAATAACACATCAAGCTTCTTGTAGGTTTGTTTGATGGAATTACATAAGGTGTTCACTTGTCTTGTATGCCCCTAACACTACACTGTCAGTAAGCCATGGGTCACTAACTGATATGTTTCATCTCAGTTTTCCAGAAGACTTCATCGATGTCTGGATACGTGGCAGAAGTGATACGACAACGTCCTGTCCAGGTAAAAACATTCAGATGTCTGATTTTGTCTAGCTCATCTTCATACGATAGTGTTTTAGTCGTTACTAATGAGAATATGTTGCACATGCAGAAAACTCAGGTGGTTCCGGACCCGTGATGATAGAGCCCACGCTGAACCCAGACACAGTCCACACGATCGGCCCTGTCCTGGACTGTATGGAGACCTGCAGAGGACTGAGTCTGGCGCAGTGCGATCGGATCAGACACGAGCTAACATCCGTCAGCAGGTTCAAAGAGTTGGTTTACACCGTCAACAGGTCCGGAGACATGTGCCGTCGCTTGCTGGGAGCGTCCGTGGAAGTTTGTCTGCCTGAGAGAGCACCCATGTTCCCAAGGGAAGAGAGAGGTACGTCTTCCCTGGCTGTAGTTTGAAGCCTCTGATTTATCTTCCTCCTTATGTGATGCTTTGTCCTGTTTAACCGCTTGTTTGTCTGACACTTTGTTCCTACATTAGAATATCAATGTTCACATTTATTCCCAGGGAACGAAATTGTTCTCCTGCACACCGGAGACTACAATGACAAGCTCACCCAGCCACTGTTGAAACAGGCAGTCCAATCGTCCAGCAGGTACGGTGTAACAGTGTCTGAAGACGTCATCCAACCAGGAGAAATTATCACAGACAAACTCTTGCACCATCTTCTCCAACGGAACGTCAGGATGGTCGTACCGATCATCACACCCCAGACTCTCCACAGCAGACACTGGTCCACGCTCGGGTACGAATTCTGCGTACAGAACAAGAACCTGGTCTTTCCGGTCCTCGCCTACCCTGAAGGAACCAAAGAGCGTTTGCTAGAGGTGCTCGGCAGGCGCTGTGCGGGGATGTTGGATATGGCAGCAACAGAAGTACCAATGGCTGAAGAACCACTGTCCAGTTCCAAAATCAGTCTCACTGCTGCACAAATCCTGAGGAAGGTGCGTTTATATCGGTAGTCATTATCATTGTGCATGGTACTATTCTTGAAAGTCTACTTTGTTTTCAGACAGAATGACTAACACAGTATTGTTTCTACAGGCGTCGTCTTCTGTTGTTCTATACACACGCCAGATCACAGCTGCAGGCTGCACGGTTGTGGAGGATGGTGTCACTATCGTCTTTCCGAAAGGATGTGTCAAGAAGAAAAGGTTCATGTCTTTGGAGGTAAGATCGTCTTTGTTTCCGTTTGAATTGTGTTACTATTTACTGTAGTGTATGCAGGCTTGTTTATTGTGTGTAATAGTTAGACCGACCTCGGAATCACTCCTAGCGACCGCTTGGACTTCTTGACGAAGTAGAGGAAACCAAAGCTTAAGTAATAGCACTTTTTGCTTCCTGGACATGTCTCTGTTATCGGTGGAGAAGACGAAATGGCAAGCCATCAATTACGATAATATTATAGTAAAGCTCTTGACACAATGTTTTCTATGTAATAATCAATCCAAATGTAACTTACATTGTCATTATCTAGATCTACATTATGGCTCAAATTCATTTATCTTTCTTAAAAATTTGATAGGTTGATATGCTGCCCATAGATGGGACCATGGCAAACAGTTTCTCAGCTACGACACCGGTAATGACCGTGCACCTAGACACCGAGGAAGACTTCCTAAAGCCCGTCACTGTCACCCTGCCCTGGACATGGAAAAGCATCTGTGACCTGGGCAGAACCATCCTGATGAAAAGGTCTACTGATGGCCATGATGAGTGGACGACATTAAGCACCGATCCTCGAGAAACCAAGGACACGATCACCTTCACAACCTGTCACTTTTGCAGGTAACACACTTTATCTTGATAAAAAAGATTAAGAAAAATATTTGTTAAATCGAACAAACATAATTTTTGAAAACTAAGATGACAAGTAATGATTGGTCAAACAATATGTTGAATCTACTTTCGTACATTCCACTGTTTTAGCGTTGTCGGTGCCAAGAAAAAAGACAACGCTGAAGAAGCCTCCACCTCTGCTGATACCAGTACAGAAAAGCAGGACGAGGCGGCCAATCAAGAGGCAACTGAAGCTATAGAAGTCCTTGTAACAAGGTACAGTGACGACAAAGTGCATCTCATTATCAGTCCCAATGAGGCAACGACAGACGACAAGCGTATTCACCTGCTGTGCATCGAGAAAGGCAAAAAAGTCACGGAGTACTTCAGAGCAGATAACTTTAAGACACCACCGCCGTTCCGACAAGAGGTCACCATGCACAAGAAGGAGAGAATCCGTGCGCGGTTTGGTGAGGAAGAGGACGTCATTGGAGATCCACGTGACATTCCGCCGGAGCCGCCCGGTATTCAGTTCGCCTTCCCGCCGGCGAACTGTAACCGGATCTCAGTCAGACTGAAGCTGCGAGATCCGCAGATAGGAAAGGGGAAGTTTGAAGGAGCAGTCCATTTCACACTACTGTCACAAGCAGGTGAACCAGTGAATGACCCCATCCGTCGGATAAATTCAGCCCATGTCTACCTGCACTCTCTTCAAGGTAGGTGCTGTTTTGATGTATGTACTAGCAAGCGTATAAGGTACTAGGAAAAAGGAAGACAAGTCACAAAATTGATCTTGAAACAAAATAGCCAGTTATATTGAGCAGAACTTCTTTTAGAACATAGCGACATGGTATTGCAATGCCAAGACTAACACTAGACTTTGGGATTCTCCATTGGCTCCATTGTCATGCCAGGACGAACAAAGGCAAGTATTATATTAGTCCCGTGATAGCCAAGAGTTCATCAATGAGAAGTTTTTGGTTCCAAGAAAAGAACTAACCATCGGTGAAACGTCCCAAATACAACCAAAGAAAGGTAGTTAAATAACGTTTTCCACTTTAAGGTAGATCATTGGCTTATTGTTTTCCTGTACTGGTTATTTGTGTGTAATAATGAGAAATATGATACAGAGAAAAACAAAGTTGAACTCCTTTGTGCACCCCACTTACCATGAGTTGTCCTTTATTCAAGCTGTAAAGATTTTTTCTTATCGTATGTCCATTGCAGATGAGGGGAAGACAACAAGTCAGGTTCAGCAGGAGGAAGGCACTGTGGTCACCATGGTCAAGCCGCCCCAGATACAACATAAGAAAGGTAAGATGTAACACGATAATTTTGTACCATATTCTAAATGCTTCTTCGCCTCTGCATGAGAATTATCATTTCGTTGGGCGGTAGGTCAAACAAGAGAAGGGAATAATATAGATAACGTGGGGTGGCTTAAATTGCTTAACAATCTTATATTGATTACAGGTGGGAAGAGGAAAGCCAAAACGCGGCATGTTGGCGAGTCCGGCGACAGTGGCCCCCCGGTAATGCGACCGAAGCAAGGTATGGACGGAGTCATACTGTGAAAGAATTTTTTTCGGAAATATCACTTTGATAGCAATTCTCGTGTTTTAACTGATTACAAACTTAAGGTCCAATGACCCAATGTAGCCATTTACCATTTTTCAGCTGAGGAGATAAGTCCATGTAGAAAAATTATATTCTTGACGCAACAGTCCATTTTAACGGATATGACATTCAAACAAAGACCATTTCATGTGGCCTGCATAGAACTCTATCATATAACTCATCACTACACGGTCTTTGGACAAATGGCAATTTCCTGAAAAGGTTAACCTCATTTCATCTGAACCGCTTTTGACAAAAAAATTATCTGAAAAAAAATCTCAACACTAGAAACAACAACATTTTACACCTATGCAGCAATGGAATCTTCTTACTGAAAGCAGTCAGAGTTCAATCGAAATGCAAGTATTTGGGGTCATTCTTGTGGTGTTTTATATACATGTAAATCTACATATAAAATCACTGTGTTTCCCAGCCTACATAAAATATCAAGCAATTTCATGAGACAAGGCAAATGAATGAGTTTTTCCTTGTTTTTTACCTGATATCTAGGATCTGCAAGGCCTTTGGTGCTGTTGCTCAATGATGAGTATGGGACCAGAAAGGGTGGAATATCCACAGTCAACCGTCAGATCGGGTGCTTTCTGGCATCAAAAGGAGCAAAGGTCCTTTGCACAGTCCTGAATGCCACACAACAAGACAAGGATGACGCAGCTATAGATGGAATTCAGCTGCTTTTCCCAACACCGTTTGAACGTGATCCGAGAGAGGCAGAGCTCTATTGGCTGACCTTTGATCACCAGATCCGATATCCAGACCTTCCCTCGCACGTAGACTTCATCCTCGGCCACGTCCCCATCACGAGCCACGCAGCAAGACGGATGAAGGAACGCTTTCCTGGCTCCAAACTCATCCAGGTCACCCACGTCATGCCAGAGGACACCAGTCAGTACAAGGGTGACGAGAGGGTGTTGAACATTGGACAGGAGAGCAACAACATTCTGGATGACCTACGACATGCTGATGTTTTCTTCTCGGTTGGGCCATTGATATATGACTACTACAGGCATCAGACAAATCAGCTAACACTACAACATCATGAACTCTTGCCAAAGCCGTCTGACATCTTCATCGATATGAAACTGAAGCCACCCGCCGACACGGAAACGAAAGTGGTGCTGTCTATTGGCAGGGTCAAGGGTGTGGAGAGGCTGAAAGGCGTTGATCTGGCTGCGACGACCATGGGCAAGGTGATGAAAGAGCTACCCCACACGAAGTGGAGGCTTCGCGGCTTCAGACGTGATGATTTTCAAGCAAGCAGGAGCATCATCGAAGCCAACACGGGTAGATTCCTGTTCGTACCCTTCACACCTCTGGAATACGGTACACAGGAGGAGCTGTGCGAGGACATGAGAAAGGCCGATGTCGTCCTGATGCCGTCTCGTGCAGAGCCATTCGGACTGGTTGGTCTGGAGGCCATCGCCGCAGGTGTCCCAGTCGTGATTTCCAACAAATCTGGTCTTGCAAAGTTCCTGACGAAACAAGATCCCGAGTTTGACCGCACGATCGTAGAGATCGACGATGACGATGATGAAGCCGCCAAAACGCTGTCCAAGCGCATCATCAAGATCCTGAAGGACGGACCCAGAGAGTTCAAGGCCGCACAAAGTTTGAAGAAGAAGCTTCTGGAGTCAGAGTACTGGGCTGAATCACACAGCAAGCTCCTCCAAACCGTTGGCCTGGAGGGTTGAGCGTTTAACCACAGAGTTTCACCCGCTGGCAACTGGCACTTGACAGTTCTACTTAATATGGCTTCAGAACCTACAATGCACACGCATCTGGATCAACCGTTTGTCAGTTATGTTGTATACACCAGTAAACAGGTGTATATGTATAACTATTCCATAAGTCATCAATTCTGCAAACCAATGGATATGTGGGTAAAGCATCAAGTGTCCATATCGACCTGGTAACGGGACTTTCTCAGATGGCAGTACTCTGCAGATGCTCATTCTGAACTGTTGTTAACATAATGAGAACAATCAACATTCCATAAGCTTGTGCACAATGGATCCCTACAAGCTCTTGTACTTTTTATTGCTATACAACATTAGATTTCATACTAGGATTTGATACTACAGATTTTCCAATTAGTTGAAGTTGACATGCTTTAGATGCTTTGTATTTGATTCTATTGTACATACAATTTTATATACAGTATTCTAATAAGTGTAAGTTTGTAGGATGAAATGATGTTTGAAGACGACGCAGACGCTCCAGTTTAGATGATGATTGTGTCATAGAGTTGTCAGGACTTGATAAACAGAGTTAGACGGCATACCATTACAGATGTAGATTAGGCCACACCAAGTAAATTTTATGGATGACGTCCGCGCGCGCATTGATTTTGTCCTGTTCCTAGAAAAAAAAACAAGAAATTCCGCTTCCTGTAACTATGACCAAAGAGTCACGAGAGTGCCGCAAATCGTTAGATTGACGTGAACCCCGTAACGCGAAATGGGTAAAGAGCCCATGCTTTGTTTCTGCAGGCCTGCAAAAATGTGATGAAAGAAACAGGACAGGACGATAACTGCTGTTCCACCTGATTTATTGCTGTTTTGATGATGAATAAGACTTCTTGCTTGTTACACTGTGTCACCTCATTCAATTTGTGTCCTAACATTTGTCGTCTCTTAGTATATTCCTAATCTAGGCATCTTGTTTTTTAGGGCCCTTCTTGTTTTTTTTCGCCCTCTCGCATTAGATTTAGGGTCTCCAAAGGACGTCATCCATAAAATTTACTTGGTGTGGCCTTATATGAACTTTCTCTTCCTTCACTCACGTTTGGATTCGTTTGTTTTTTTACTGTAAAGAAGAAGACGTTAGGAACCAATTATAGATTGTCCGGTAACTTTTCCTTATCAATACCTTCCCACTCTTCCACTTAGTACAATATTGTCACTCTGTAAAAAAAAAAGACGACAATAATGGAACTCTTGCACAATCATATTACTTCTCTCTAAACTCTAAACAACCTTCCTGACCAAATATGGTTATGTTTTGACTTGATTCTGATTAAAATGACCGCCTGTGTTCTCCCAGACGGACATGTTACAAACAGGATGTAGCATTTCCTTCCAGTTCTTTCCATGCATCATATTTGCCTAAGCATCAAAAATCGAATTTAAACAAGACGGTGGGGTGTAGTTCGCACATTTATGTCTTCTCCGAAACAGAAATGCATCGCTACGACCCACTCCAAGACCAGTGGTGTAAGCAGACCCCACCAGGACGCATTCCTTGCCTCTTCACAGCCATTGCCATGGGAACAGAGATCTTTTGTATGGGGTTTGAATTTGATAGGCTACATGTGTACGATGTTGAGACAGACATTTGGAGGAATATTCCATCAAACAAGTGCTTTTGCAAAAGCTGCCATTTTCGCAACAAATTTTTTTATGAAAAGGCTTACAGTTTTTACGAACTGGTGGATGGCAACAAAATCAGTGTCAGATATAGTGATTAGTCTCTGCAATATATTTACACAAATATGAATAATGTTATTATAGTCATGTACATATAAGAATTATAAACTTTAGACATAATAGACTAGTTCACATGTCATTACCGGTAAACTTATTATTACTTTTTTACCATCAGTATCATATTGATTTCTTAACAGTTTTAGTAGGATCCATACTTCTGTGGTGCAGGTACAATTTGTATGGAATAGGTAATTTTCAATGTTACATGCACCAGTTCAGGTATGCAAAAAATGTATTTCAAGCCCTGAGTGCATTCAGTAGGCTATGTTTAGTTCCATAATTTGCCAACATGGCTAGCAGACGACATGCCCCCCTCCCACCCTTACGAAGTTGTTTACATCATGTTTATCCCCATTCCGATAGAAAACTGATGCATGGAATAAAAGGTGACTACTGTGATTGAATCTCCTCTATTTTTTGTGGAAACCAAATTCAAATAAAGTTTGAGCCGAGATACATGTATTTATGTCAAAAGACGAGATGACGAGGCCTCCCCATCCCTACTACTACTAGTATGAGTGCTTACGTACGGCCGGCTTTGTTTACATCATGTAAAGCGCCACGCCGATGGAAAACTACACCATGGAATAAAACGTGACTACTGTGGTGCGATCTCCATTTTATAGGCTTCCCCTTTGTGAAAACAAAATTGAAATTGGTCAAGTTTGAACCGAGATATGGAAAGCTGAAAATCTAGACTAAGCCACACTGCCAATGCTCATTGACATAATTTATGCAGTAAATAAAAATCCTTGAAAACTGTGATTATAAACATGTTTTTATCAACATTTTTGGCAAATGATAAAATCAAGTTATTATTTAAGACAAATTAAGTTTGTTTTGTCAGCAGCTTTGTTATGCAACATTATTATAACCATGATTTTGAAATTAGAAACCGCAATAGAAAGTATACAAACTTCGAAGGCATGCATAAATGTTCAAACATTGTCTTGCAATGTCTGTTCACCCACCCATGGATGCATCCATCCATGCGTGCGGTGGTGCTTACCTGGCTGGGACGACATAGTTGTCTCACCAGGTAGAGCGGTTTATCTATCGTTTTGTGCGCCCCTTTGTTTGGTCCGGTCTACCATTAAACAGACCACCCATGGAATGAATGTTTGTTCTGGTATTACAATTTTCGCGTAAAAAACCTGGGCGATCGTTTCACAGCACCCTTGATAGACCCTACTTCTTTGCCCTGGAGAATCAGCTGTATACACTATTACGCACCACAAGCCTGGTCTCGGAACGTATCCGTGACTCGTATACATGTATGTGTGTATACGACCGG